ATCGTAGAGAGGTTGGATCGTGTGCAGAACTTCTCGTCCTGATCGACGCGGTGGAAACAGTGATAACAGAGACTACACCAAAGTGACAGTTGCGCAGTTTTTCCCTGGGGGAAGAAAATTCGAAGGGATAGAGAGGATTCACTGTGGAATACACCGTGTGTCGTTCGTCGATTCGTCGTACTCGAACTGTTCGTCAGAGACTGGTCTGGCAGAGAAAAGGGGAATAGTGATATATTGTACATAGCTCCCGTGATATTGGAGGGTTTCTTTCTCCTCTTTTGGAATTTTCGTCGTTGGTGAAGCTGCTGAACTGGCAGGAACAGTGGTGTGAAAAGAGAGCTTTTGTGGCGTTTTGTGAGAGGAAGACTGGTGGCGCGGCCCGCGCTGAGATGACGGTGACCACTAACTTCTCGATGATGCGACCTTGCTTCACTGGATACCCCTTTCAAGGTAAGAGCTTCATCTGTCTTCCAGCATTTTTATTAACTACACTCCTGTGCAAGGAAGAGGAAACTATTTTACATCTTAGCGTAGGCAATTGAAAGAGTTAGGGATGAATTTTGACACTGCAATTCAGGGAGAATCCACGAGTTAGAAGACCTTTGAAGAAACAGTTGTCAAAGTTAGAAATTTCGAGAAAAATTGGTAAAGAACAAAATATCGGAGAACAGTGTATCATTTGTTACGAACGACACGGTAGCAAATCTAACGTGTCAAGTAATTATCGCACTTTTACCTGAGCGAACCAGGAGAAAAGTGCGATAAGTGTGGAAAGTCGGTTGCTGCAGCTGTTAGAAAGTAAAAAAAGAAGAAAGAAAAGATGCGGCGGAAGAGCAGATTCGTATTAGCATTGTGCAATCTTCCGTCGAGCCTTATTCGAGGATCGAACTTTTACAACTGGCCCGGTGGCAGAGAAGTCTTGGCAGATTTCGATATCCTGAGAGATCTTAAACGGGGCATTGATATATAACCTTACCTGGCCCGAGAACACCGGAACATTACCATTAATGACCGTCATAAATAATGAAATATATTTTTCGAGGGGCTTTTGCCGTCGCTCTCCAATCCTGCGTACTCGCTTTTCGACTTTGCACGCCTCCGGCCACTGAAAAAATCTCCCGATTGTCTGACCATTCTCGAACGATACCCGAACGTTTAGCACCGAAAATTGCAGTTTCAAGTCGTGTTTGATCATCCTTGATCGAATCTTTCCGTTGAAATTATGAATTAATTTAGCTAGGATTAGCACAGAAGTTTGGTAAATTTGTTAAAAAGTTGAATTTAAAGTCGAAGCTCTTCTGCTCTTTGCGCACGAATTTTCAATACAATCTTGTTTTCCACGCAGAAAGAGAGGAGTTCAAATTTCTGTCCGCGGTATGTAAGATAATTAGAAAGTTGTTTAAGATCGACCAGAGGTTTCTTCCCAGTTGCTATTCGAGAAATCGAAAATGGACCGTGTAATTGTCAAACTTGTTCAGCATTGTCGGCCTTCTGCCCGGAAAATCGAGGGCTTCACGAGCGGCTCTCCTCTCGGAAATAGACTTTCCGTCCCTCGTTTATGGCCTCGTAAATTTCACAATTCCTCCGTGTTGCAGTCCGCCTCTAATTTAACTGCCTGATAATAAAATCAAGCCTGAAAAAAGGCACCTCCGATTAATTCCTCCTTAATCATGTTCACCTAACGAGGCACGAAAAAAAACAACAAAATCACAAACTAGATGCATCTTCGGAAGAAGCGACAATTTTCTGCAAATTGCAATTGTCGAGCGATAGATTCGGTAGCTGTGTTTAATTCAATCGATCACACACGCAGACAAACATATTTCACGTGTAGATAACAATTGAATTTCTCAGTGGCAGACGTGCAATACCGATTCCAAATGAAGCCGTGTTGTTAATGCTGCATTCTTGTTTTGTTGTTTATACACGCTTAAACAGACACACACGCAGAATCCACCTGCGATCATTTGTCACTGTCCAGGATTACGCATTGGTCGCGCAGCGTTTAATTGCATGCAACAATTATTCACCGAATTCTATCCTCGGCTAGTATGCAAAATGGTAGCGTTTAACACTGCTCGAACACGTGTAATTAAATATTCCTGGAAGATTGATAATGTTGCGGATGCGTTTTCGCAATTACGCGTCCGTTTGCATCGACGATCGTTAATTACTTTACGAGAGAATGTTGAAACGAGCCGCGGCGCGCGAGCCGTGAGAAGTAAAAGCCTACGAGAGCCTACACTCCGTTGCGATTAATACCTAGGAAGTTTAGCTTCCTTTATTGAAAATTAATTGCTGCGACGATTTCAACGGAATCGAACGCGCCGTTCGTTCTCATCGCAGCTCCTTCGAGAGTTTTTCTCGATTTCTCTTCTCGTTTCACGGCTCGAAACTATAGCAACGAGATTTCGCAATTATTAACGAGAATACGGTGGAATCCGAGGCTGAAATTGCAAGTTGTGATTGGGGAAATTTAGAGGATCTCAACGAGAGATTTTACTGGAGTAAAAAGTGCTCCTCATTTGTGCCGGAGAACTCGAGAGAACGTTTACCAAGTTTTCTAAAAATCGTTCTTAGAGATTACGCGCTGAATTCTCGAGAAATTGCGTAATAATCGTGGCTACGATTAAAAGTAGATCACACACGTGTGAATTTTCACTTCTTTTTTTTTGTTATTTGATAACAGTTAGAATTCACTTAAAGGTATAGAGATACAGGTGAAATCGATCCAATTAGCGAAATAATTAACAGCAAGCAGTTTTTTCATCCCTCTTCGAACTCGCGACGGTTCTCCACGGAAAAACCGCCGTTCCGTTCCACGTTTTTCGACCGTCGAGCGCACTCCGCGGCGCATAAGAGAGAACTTACGCAACCGATTCTGCGCAATCGAAACCGTCGCTCTTTCGCCGTTTCTTTTTTCGTTTTTTTTTTCTTCTCTCCCAGTTTCCAGGCATTTTTCCTTCCTCGATCGTCCGTTCGTTACGTGAACGTCGCCGATTCCGTCAGTTCTTCCCTCGTCAAGGTGACGCGATTCTCCGAGGATACGACACACCGCACCGTGGGAAACACGGGCAAATTTCTAATCAGCAACATTGTTAAACGGTGTGTTTTTTTTTTCGTCGCCGGTTTTCCGCATGGAAGGATTGCGGTTTGCACACCAGCGATATCGCACCCCGAAAAACCCGCGAATTTCTAGCGCGACGGAAAAAATCGAAAGCGAGGAAAATCGAGCGTTTCGTTTCTCGACAACGAGTGGCCTCCGCTTCTAAACGCGACCCCCTTTTGTTTCACCGTGTTCTCTTTCTTTTTTTTTTTTCGAATTTCACAGAGGATAACTGTCTGTGATTTGGAATTTCGAGAGGTTTGTTTTAGTTGGAATCCCGGGGAACGTGGAAATCGATGGAATTCGTAGACGTGGAGAACGTTTTATTGGAAAAAATTTGAAATTGGAGAAAAAGTCATTGGTAATGCGAATGGAAGAAAAATGTAATTACACTGGAAGTGTCTACTGAAGCGTGTGAAGATTTTTTCAAATCTGGTGGATAATTGCGAAGTGAGTGGATCTTGGGATATTAAGCGAGCGACAACAAGAATGATAAATTCTGGTTTTTCTCGAGCGATGTGCGTCTCGCATCGGCGATCGTCATTGCCCACCTAGTTTTTCCTCTCGTTACTGTGTCAGAAAAATGACTCACCCGCCCGATTCGATCGCGATCGATCCGCCGTTGCCGTAATATTCGCCGCTGCTTTAGACGTGGGTGCTCGAAAGAAACAAAGAGTATGTTACGTTCGAATTAACAGGCGTGTTTTTAGCTTTCGATTCAAGGCTCCCGAGGACAGGGAAAAATTGTTCGCCTGTTGAAAGTAGATCTAGGTCTGAGCTGGGTGAAGTTTACTTTAACGGTGGGAAAATTGATCGTTTTCCGGATGAGTGACGGTGGAAAATTGAGGTTTGGAGAGTGTCGAGACACCTGGAGGACATTTTGACGGGGAAAGGGGTACTTTGGTGGGAGAATTTTGAATTGGGAGACTGAGAAATTAGGAAACTAAGATATTTGCGAATTAAGACATTTGGGAATTAAGAAATTTGGAAACTAAGAAATTTGGGATCTAAGAAATTTGGGATCTAAGAAATTTGGGATCTAAGAAATTTGGGATTTAAGAAATTTGGGATCTAAGAAATTTGGGATCTAAGAAATTTGGGATCTAAGAAATTTGGGATCTAAGAAATTTGGGAACTAAAAAACTTGGGTATTAAGAAATTTGGAAGCTAAGAAATCTGGAAATTTCATAAGATCGACCATCTCCGCCACGAACACTTGGCAAAGAAGAGGCCGAAGAATCTCTCCATTTACAAAATTCAGAGAGCCAGTGAAAAACGAATCTCGGTATCTCCCGAAGACAGGAAGATTTCGAGAGACCAATTTTTCTCAGAGATGAGTTCGAAGCCACAGGTTAATGCTGTTTCCAACGAGAAGAAATCGCAATGCAAATAGTTGCTTCCGATCGCGATCGTGCAGCGTAGATTACAGAGAACCAGACAAATTATACGCTATCAGCGTTGTGCGTCGTAAACCCCTTAGATTCATTGGTCTTATCGTTATTTATGGGATTATTGTACGCGCGCCAGCCTACTGTAACTCCTTCTTCCATCGGTTTCCTCTCTTCTTTTCTGCCTCCTCGCGCTCATTCCCCTTTCGTCCTGTTTCCTCCTCGTCGAACACGCAGGAAATACCGCGAGGTGAAGGTGGAACGATAGATACACACATCCACGAGTTTCTCTTTATTCTACACCGAGTATAACTGTTCTCTCGCCTGATTCTCTCAACGCAAGAATTCGATCGGAGAATCCTGCCCGACAGGAAGCACAATTGTAACAGAAAAATTGACACTAGGTGTTCATTTTTCTATAACACTTTCTTCCCAACTCTTTGCAGCACTTTTAAATAAACCCAGACTAGTTGTGAAACATACAGGAAACAGTTCACGCTGTTATTTTTTACAAACGTAGGCTTCAATCCAACGAGTAGCTTAGAATCGTTTCTTCGGCAAAAATTAATTTGTGCCTTTGGAGAAAGAATTGCAAGTTTTCGCAGAACTCTGAAGCGAAAGTGTAGTCAACAGTGAATACTTGATCATTCTCCTAATTTTCTAAACGTTCTTTGTCGCAGATTTGGGATCGATACCAGGTCAGGGACGCGTCAATCAGCTCGGCGGTGTTTTCATAAATGGACGACCGCTGCCGAATCATATTCGTCTGAAAATCGTCGAGATGGCTGCTGCCGGTGTCAGACCGTGCGTCATTTCCAGGTAAAAGTAGTAACAACGATAAGAAAATCTTGAAAAAAATCACTCGATCGACGAATTAACTCCAGTTTCGTAATTTTTATTTGAAACAGACAATTGAGGGTGTCTCACGGATGCGTCTCGAAGATTCTGAACCGGTACCAAGAGACCGGAAGTATTAGGCCGGGTGTGATCGGTGGCAGCAAGCCTAGAGTAGCCACGCCGGAAGTCGAGGCGAGGATCGAAGAGTACAAACGCGACAATCCGGGTATTTTCTCGTGGGAAATACGAGACAGGTTGATCAAAGAGGGGATCTGCGACAGAACAAGTGCTCCCAGTGTCTCCGCGATCTCCAGGCTGCTCAGAGGTCGTGATCCTGAAGATGAGGCTAAGCTTGGCGACGGTGAGTCCTTATTTCAACGAATTTCACGTGTTTTTCTTTCTTCGTTCGATCGAAAATTGTGGTGCAAATTGGCGATTTCCTATTAACACATTCGACACGGTGGACGCCATTTCGCGTTGCCGTTTCTTTCGCGTGGCTCGTTTCGTTAATATCTGTTTTGCACGTTAATGAGGCTGAAGCATTGTTCCCTGTCCTTCGAATTATTTTCAGTTACATTTTTGATATCTGTATTTTGATCTGTTCCACATTATTCGATGGATACCTGCTCTTATACACACTTAATATTAAATACTCAAACTATGCATTTTGTACGATGTATTATGCGCAGATGATAAGATTTATCGTGGGAATTGATTGAATCGCGAGGATTGCTGTTAAGCAATTATCAATTACAAGAGTAACGCAGTGTCCCAGAATAAATTTTGTCAAAAGTTTCGAGTTGGAAGTGCGCAAGTTTTCTTAGATTGCGAGCTGGGTAGAGTAATTTTTTACGAGTAAAATTGCATACTAAGGTCGGTGTCAAGCAATTATTAACACTCTGCTATACATGTCATAGCTTCGTTCAAGTCTCGTTTATATTAAAACTAAGTGAATTAACGGAAGAAATGAAAATAAACAATTTCATAAAGATTTCGAAGTTTCTCTTCTGAAAAGAAAATTTTGGATTTTCGAAAGTTTCACTGCAAAGGTGAGAAGTGAAAGAAACGCTCGGAAGGCAGAGGGTTAATTACAAGAGTAGCACAGTGTCTGAGAATTTATTGAATCGATTTTGTCAAAGTTTCCAGTTTGAAGTGCGCAAGTTTTCTGAGATTGCAAGCTGGGTAGAGTAATTTTTGACGAGTAGAATTGCGTATTAATATCGGTGTTAAGCAATTACAAGAGTAACACAGTGCTTCAGAATTTATTGGATAAATTTTGTCAAAGTTTCGAGTTGGAAGTGCGCAAGTTTTCTTAGATTGCAAGCTGGGTGGAATAATTTTTAAGGAGTAAAATTGCATATTAACACGGTCTGTTCCTCTCCGATCGGCCTGACAAAAACTCCCTCGATCGAGAGCACACCCCGGTCTCCCGGTGTCTCTTCCCAGCCGGCCTGACCAAGATTGATGATCCAGCTGAATCAGTGAATTAGCCTCTCGCAAATATTCCCGTAACAGCGCCACCGTGGAAAATTAGATTATAACAACATCGGCTCATAATTTGGTCCTCGGGGCTCTCTCGTTATGCGAGGCCTCTCAAAATTGAATCGGCCGGCCCTTTTTGCATTCCCTAATTCTCTTCGCAAATAACACCTTATTCCTCGTGTTTATCGAAATACTTGCCAGCCGAATATACAGCCTGGAATTTTTCAGAAAATCCTCTCGGTGAAATTTTCGAAAATCAATTGTTTATTTAACGCTGGACGTAAGAGTTTCAGGGAAATAATCTTTTAGCGTACCAAAATGTTACTTGTTAAGGAAATATATCGAAATTTATTTTTTACAAGTTTATTTTTCGCAGTTTTGATTTTTCTCCGCTGTTTCTATCTACAGAATTTTTTATTTCCTGAGTAGTATTTAGAAACTGAGGTAATTTAGTTTGTTAAGAAAATATATCGACATTTACTTTTCACAAGCCTAAGCTTCAATTATTTCTCGCAATTTTGATTTCTCTCTTCTGTTTCTTTCTTGAGAATTTTTAATTCCGTGAGTAATACTTGGAAACTGAGGCAATTTGGTTATTTGCTAAGAAAATACATGGAAATTTACTTTTCACAAGCCTAAGCTTCAATTATTTTCCGCAATTTCGATTTTTCATTTACCGTTTCTTTCCGGAGAATTGTAATACCTGGCAGCTGAGGCAATTTGCCCGCAAAGCGGAACGCGATTTCAGCTCGGCCGAGAATCAAGTGGTCGCGTGCGTCGCACGGCAGAATTTTATCGCGCGTGTATCGTTTTATCAAATTTTCACGCCGCGTTTCACCGATCGTGGGCGAAGAATTCGCGGTTGTACCAGGTTTGAGGGGTTAAACGAAGAAAAACAAAGTGTCCGCGATAAAAGCGACCATTAAGGTAACAGCTTCCTGCGGAGAATGTAACATTCGAACTCGAGGGAAAATTACCGCGCAGGAAATTACGAAGGGGATCAAAAGCGGAGCTTAGCAATGTAGTTCGCAGTTAATTCGCGCTCCAACCTGAAACTTTCTTACCGGGACTCTTTAATCATCGCGGAGGATTCGAAAAACTGTTTCTTAGTTGCCGTGCAAAACCGTTTTTCTACGTTTCATATTTTTCCCCCTCCTCAATTTCCGAGATGAAACCTTCGAGAATCCTTCTACGGGAACCCGAATTGAATCTCGAAGACCTGACACCTTTCACAGAAAAAACAGCAGAGTTTCGAAGGGAAGAAAACAATTTTTCAGTTACCGCAGTAATTCTTGCGGATGCATAATCCACATCGGATCGATAGAATTACCAATTTCCGGAATGAACACCCAACCTCCCCACTCCGCAACACCCAAAATTATTTATCAACACGAAGAGATCCTTGATTTCCTGACCCAGAGAGGCCAACCTGCCCCTTTAATAAAGCCATAAATTAAAATCCTCGCTTCCTTCAATTCCCCTCGATGCACGCACGCGCACACAGCCTGTAGAGTGTATCTTTTTAGAAAAGCAAAGGAACATTTAAAAAATTCTAATAACCACGACCCACTTCCTTAATAATACACATAAGTGCACAGACATAGAGAAGCTAATTCAGCTTTTACATCTAATTCGACATTATAAGAGCGCGTAGAAAGTGGCGCAAAACACTATGTAATAGCGGTGAACGGTTTGAGAAATAGGAAGATCGCGATGGAACATAGTGTGTCGAAGAGTGAAGGATACATGTTAGCGTCGACACGCCCCATCAGCTGGTAGCCTGCTCGGTTAAGAGACCACCAAGGATCCGTGCAGGATCTCGAAACGGTGAATGAATAAATTAAATGGTCGCGCATTAATCAGCCCCGCGTTTCTCGATCTTCGAAATTACCGGTTCTCGTGAGCCGCCGCGAACAGTCGGTAGCGAAGCGCGGCTCTGTAATTTCCTCGCCGCCCGGTACATGCCCACGTGCACGTCCGAAACGTTCGATAGGCGGTATCGGAGCGGGTGCGCACACGAAAGGCACACGGGTTGAACGCGCTCTCTGCTAACTCCTTCGCCTTCTTTTTCCATTTCTTCCTCTCCCTCCCACTGTGCCTCTCTTCTCTTCTCTTCTTTTGCTTTCGCGGCGCGGTGAAATTTTTCACCGCCGATCGAACGAGCCCTATGGCTCGGGTAATTGAAATTTGATAAGCGCAATCGAGTTCAGGTTGGAGATTTGAACGAGGGACGAGTGGGTGATTTATTGGTTGGAGGTTTTGGTAGCTTGGGATTTTCGTGGAATTTCAGGGGTGAGTGAAGCGAAGAAGTTTAATTGGGAGTGGTGGAATTGAGGGAAATTGGATAGAGGGGGAAACAGCTGGAAGATTTATTGAGAATTTCGAGGTTTGGAAGTACCGAGTTGCAGAATTCCATTCAATTTTTCAAAATTTCTTCAATTTCATTAAATGACCCATGAAGAGGATACCAAGTAAAGGTGAAGAATATTACCTACTTAGAGTTGAAAGAAATTAAACGGAGGGGGAAAAACTTACAAGTTGTGGTTAGAAGATTTTTGAAATTAGAAAATTTGGAAGCAGTGAGTTGTAGGATTAGATGGAGAATTTCGTAAAATGGTCCATGAAGATGGATTCTACTTCGTCTATTAATAAAGAAACTTTCAACAATTGTGTTCTATATAGTTTCATTTGAAAATTTGGAATACTTGTTTCCGTTCAAGAGAATATCTTCCATCTTTTCAAATTTCTTTAATTTCGTAAAATGGTCTGTGAAGTGGATACCGAGTTAAGGTGAGAAATATTAATTAGAACTGAGAGAAATTGAACGGAGGGGGAAAAGCTTGGAAGCAGTGAGTTGCAAAATTCGATTAAGAGCCTTGAATAGGACGAACATGTCTACCAAGATTTATTTAAGAACAATTTCAAATTAATTCTCCTTCGTCTAATAATAAAGAAACTTTCGACAATTGTATTCTTTGCTGTATTTAAAATAACAAATATCGAGAATTCTCACGGTTTTTCGGGGGTGTTATTCCGGCAAGACAAATGAAAGTTGTAGTATCGACGGTGGTCCATCGTTGGGGTCACTCGAAAATGTTGGTCGGCGAAGATGAAAGAGCAAAACGAGAAGAAACTGCTCGTAGATTTGTAAGTCGATCAGCCCGATGGTCGGGTGCCCTTTCAAAACAAAAAGAGGAGGGCAAAAACAACGTGTTACCACGGAGGGGGTGAGAAACCTAAAAAGGCGCCGACCGTTCAACTTGTCAAACTACTGTGAAAATACAGTTCTTCGTTTTTCCTTTTGATTCACCGGTAGAAACAAGCTTTAACATGCTCCACGCCGTCGAATTCAATTCGTTTTCGAATTCCTCCAAGAAGCACCTTCAATTTCTTTTAAATTCGCCTCCAGAAAAAGAAAAAGAAATTCCTAGGATTTCGTTTAATTTTCGAAAGATTGATCGTGTATTTTCTGCACCTTTTTGCTTTCGTTAAAAAACAGAGAGAGAGAGAGAGAGAGAGAAACAGAGTGTATGTCTTCTTGGTCCACGTTGTGGAATCGTGTCGAAGAGCAAAACCAGCAATCTCTCAACCCCCTTGCGGTAATGGAGGGTTCGAAAGTTTGGTAATTACTAGCCGCTCGCGACCGCTTAGTCTCATGAAAGATGTAATTTCTGTAGTGATTTTGCAAATTCACCACGTTCGATTTCTACTTTTAAATGAAAACAGCCTGCTGAATGGGAATGTGCTCTACACGAACTCTCGCAAGGGAGTCCAGATATTTCGGAGTCCTTGTTTTCGTTGCAGAATTTTTTGCACAAAGTTCAAAAAGATTTCTCCGTCCTATTGTACAATTACACGCAACGTCGGTGGACGAGAATTCCTCAAATTCTCAATATTACAATTCAAATTTCTATACTTCCTAGGTAAAACAATTCCATCGAAGATCAAAATTCCACTGTGCAATTGCACCGAAATTCTTCCAATCTGTAATCTAACAATTCCCAGGAATTTCCGAAATTTTAACATTCTGTACGTGAAACAATTCCGAAGAAATTACACTTGGAAGATAAACATTCTCTAGTTTATAAATTCTATTGTACAATTCCACTGAAATTTCCGAAATTTTAACATTCTGTACGTAAATCAATTCCAAAGAAATTACACTTCCAAGATAAAAATTCCCTCGTTTACAAATTATACTGTGAAATTCCACCGAAATCCTTCCAATCCGCAATCTTGCAATTCCCAGGAATTTCCGAAATTTCCCCGTTCTCTACGTAAATCAATTCCAAAGAAATTACACTTCCAAGATAAAAATTCCCCGGTTTACAAATTCTACTGTGAAATTCCACCGATATTCTTCAAATCCGCAATCTTGCAATTCCCAGGAATTTCCGAAATTTCCCCGTTCCCTACGTAAATCAATTCCACAGAAATTACGCATCGAACATAAATATTCTCCTATGCAATTGCACTCAAATTCCTCAAATCCTTTTCACATACAAAGCAATTCCAAAAAAGTCACACTCCACAGAAAAGAAACTCCTACTTTCCACTCTCCCCTCAAAATTACGCAATTTCGGTGTTGAAAATCCTCCATGGAATTTCCAGAAAATCCCGCAACGATCGTTCCGCCGATCAAAGGGACCATCTCTCTCTCTCTCTCCCTCCTCGCTCCTCCTCTATAAGACAATAATAGGAGTAAAAAGGAAAGGGTGTAGAGTGGCGCGCGGAAGCCCGCGGAACTGTAGAAACGAGCCGCCTTGAAGATGGCAAGAAAGGAAAAAGGGGGGAAGAAGCGGTCCGTCCGGGAATAGAGTCCGTGGCGAATGGGCATGAACGCGGGGCGTCCCGGCGTCAGGCGTCGTCGGCCGATTAGTCGCGGCCCGTGTAAAGCCAGTCGACAATTTCAAGACGCGTTCGCCGGAAGAAACGCAGCCTCCTCGTTCCTTTTTACCAACCGTGTCATCCGTCTCTGCTGTTTCGCGGCCCCGCGATGATGAATCTACGATAATCTAAAAATGCGACCGACCTTCGTTTTTTTCACCCCGCACACACAGAAATTGTCCAGAGTTCTGTCTTGCCAGGAATTCATTTTTTCTTCTCCTTTATCTTCTCTCGTAGTAGGTAACCCTTCGGATAGATAGGAGCGCGGGAAAGTGTGTGCACGCGCGTGTGTGTGTGTGTGAGCACCGTTGAAATTAGAAAAATCCAAGAGAAAATTGCAGTAAAATTCTTTCCTCGATTTCATTGTTATCACGGTGACTTGAAGCACCGCGCGGTGAGAGATCCACAGGTGTGTCCAAGGTTTCCCAACGCAAATTCAGCAAAGCTTAAACGTTTCAACGGACGCAACTAAGAGAAAATGCGATAAATTTCCTGGCGTGCGGTAGAATTTTACTAATTAATTCAGGCGTGTCGCTACGTAAAAGGAGGCTAAACGTCGTGGATCCAAAGGGCCAGGAGACGTTGGTCGGGTGATTGATTCGCGTCGAGAAAATGGGAAGTCACCGGGTGTACAGACTGTGCAGAAGGAAGTAAAATAATTCTATTCGAAAAGATGCAGACAGCCAGCAGAAAGATTCATCTTACACCAGCTTTTTTTGTCCCTGGCCTGTGGCAATTTGTCTCGTAAAAAGTTAATAGAATTGAAGTGAAAGTAAATGTCGAGTAATAAAATCGGCATTAGACAATAGAATTTAACACAATTTAATCACCGCTGCCTTTTTCTCTGCTTGTTTCTTTTTAAATTACGATATACAGTCATATTTAAAGTTTACCTGTCAAAGTGTAAAAATTCTGTGTGTGTGTGTGTGTTTGCGGTAAGGTCAGAATATACGGTGTGTCGAAGGCAGAACACTCGTATCCTTGTTATCAGTGCTCGTTCGACGATCGAAGGGAAAGGATCTCGGAACTTGTTTTTCTACTGTCATCAGTCATCAGTCATCACTCGTCACTTTTCTTGCGGTTATCCGATGTCCTTGCGGTAAATCGTGCTTTTTGCGTCTCACTCGTGCTCGCAGTCTATTTAATTCTTGAACCGATGTTGATCATTTCTGAACTTGCGGCGCATCGTCGGCGTTTCGTTAAACGCTTCAATCCTCCAATTACGCTTCTTCTCGCGGAACGATTAAACGTGACATCCTTCGCGAATGATCAAGATCGAGCAGATCGTATTCTTTGATAATTCGGAACTCTTAGAAATTCAAAAAAAAAAGAATTGGTATGTTTCCCATGAAGTGAAGGAAAATAAATTTAGAATTTGTATGGAGAAACGTTGGCTAATCGTTCTGTCTTTAATTACACCAATAAGCATTAAATAGAAAAAATATAAAAGAGGGCACTGAATATGGAAAGAAAGAAATTTAAGTGTCGGTGTAACTTCAGATTTGTAAAACTCTAGCCGACCCTTTGCACTCGGAGGTGATTTTGCTGTAGGAAAGATTCGAAATTTTTTCAAACCAACGTAGAAATAAACTGTTTCACTACGGTGAACTTTACGGAGGCCCGTAGATCTGCTCTCGGTCTTGATTAATTATGTACCAAGTGAGAATTATTTAACGTCGCTTCTCGGTCGGCCGCTCGATTGCAAAGGGTTAATGATATTTGTACCATGTGGTAATTTTAGTTAACAGTGACGTAGGTAATTAACACGTATTACAGAAGGAAAGGGACAAAAATTTGACGCATTTTCACGCTTTTAGCGCAATCACAGGAGGCGCGTAACCCTTCGACAGTTTATCCCTTGTGAGGCCCGGGCAGAGCGTGAAATTTCCAACTGTTTAACTCGAGAGAGACTCTTAGAAAGTTAGAAATGGACGACATATTGTTATCACAACTGTCGCGTATGTATTCCGTGTTTTGAAAAGATACGCGCATTTTTTTCACCGCAATTCATAATTTTATTAGACTCTGAAACGGATCACACACTGTTAAAAGGATACGCGTAAAATCTAAACCTGTTCCACCGTAATTCGTAATTTTATTAGACTCTCGAAGGGTTGAAGCAAATGTAGAAGATGTTGGAAAAATTGCAGTTTGCGGTACATTTCTGTCGATTTTGCGGCGGGAACGAGGAAATATGTACAGGGTGTCGTGTAAGTCGACCGAGAAACGAAAGGACCGG